CAATCTACAGTCTATGTGGTATTTTGTTATGGCAGCTCTAGAAAACTAATATACCACCCCCGCCCCCTCACCCCACCCCACCAGATCCAGTGGGGACGATGCAAAAGGCCTATCATGGATGCCTGCATTGTAAGAGAAGCACATGGAATTTAGGGGATTACTGCTTTTAGAGTAAGGTGAATTAAGCCTGCTCTGTGTAGGTAAGGAGATGTTATCTCCTCCTTCAAGGTGGCTTGCTGCAAACACATGACAAATGGCAGGGGTAAAGAGTGGTCAAGGACATTCTTTTAAAAAATATATATTTTTATTAATTTCAGAGAGGAATGGAGATATAGAAACATCAATGATGAGAGAGAATCATTGATCGGCTGCCTCCTGCACACCCTACACTGGGGATCAAGCTTGCAACCCATGTATATGCCCTGACCAGGAATCGAACGGTGACCTCCTGGTTCATAGGTTGACACTCAACCACTGAGCCATGCCAGCTGGGCAGGACGTTCATTCTTGGCATACCCATCAAAAACACTCAGAGATGTCAGGGCCCATGGCAAACTGCCTCTCCCAATATTAGTGCGTCATATGAAGGCCAGCTAACCTAATCTTGGTGGAATTCAGAGAGGCTTTCTGAAAGAGATCATGCCCATGCTTAAACATGAAAATCATGTTGTGGAAAGAGGGGGAGAAGGTCTTTCCTGGCAATAGAAAAGTCACACTCTACCCGGTTTTGCTCCAGTGGTTAGAGCATTGGGACTGAAGGGTCTCGGGTCAATACCAGTCAAGGGCATGTACCTCAGTTGCAGGCTCCATCCCCAGCCCCTAGTGGGCAGAAGGCAACCAATCAATGTGTTTTTCTCACATCAATGTTTCTCTCCTCCTCCTCCTCCTCAATTCCACTCTTTCTAAAAATCAATGGGGGAAAAATAATCTTGAAGTAAATGATATACTTCAAGAAGTTTCTATTCCCTTTGACATTCATCTCTATATTGAGCTCCAATCTCAGACACACAGAATTATGGTCTATGTGAGACTCTGGAAGGTCTATATATTCAATATACTTTTATGTATTGTACTGACGCCTGGAATTGTCACATTAAAGCTATGTAAACTTCACAGCTATTGATTGTCCATACAGTTCATAGCATTTCTACTCCCTTCTAGTAACTACTTCTCTCTCTCTCTTTTCCCCCCCACAATTGACAGTTAACAATGAGGCTTTATGAAATATCACCTTAACCCATGAATGGCCACAATTAATTGGCCCATAGTTTGGAACCTGCCTCATGCTGCACTAATCAGAATCTTTTCTTTGGGAATTTAAAAATCAGAGTTAAGGGATTTCAATTTGTAACTGACGGTTCTCTTAAACAGAGGCAATGTAAACGTTACCAGTTTTTGCCTTGTAGATGAAATGGAGGAGAAAACTTAGAGAGTTTTCTATATAGTGCACCATACGGGCTTGGTACAGTTCATAAGTGGCATCTCCACCCTTGGTTTTAGGGATAGCTCTGTTTCTTATGATAAATTCCTCCTTTGACATTAGAGAACTGTCTCATTTTCAATATCATTAATTAAAAAAAAACTTACATGGGCTTAGGCAAGCTTAGATTCCATAAAATGCATAAATATTTAATTATTTTAATAATATTTATTCAGCATGCAATTTGTCATGTATTCTATAAGATACTGGAGATATAAACTTCTATTTATTATAGTTCTTAGAGTGAATTTTAATGGCTAGATATTTGGTTTAAATATTGCATTCAGAATCTCATAGAATAGGTATACTTTCTCTTAAAACACAGTTGCTGGAAGAACCAAGATGGTGGCATAAAACGCCTATACTCGCTGCCTCCCACAACCACATCAAAATTACAACTAAAATATAGATCAACCATCATCCAGAACCATGGAAAGCTGGCTGAATGGAAGTCCTGCAACTAGAGAAGTAAAGAAGAAAGCACACTGAGACTGGTAGGAAGGACAGATGTGCGGAACAGACTGGACTGGCACCCTTGTGTGCTGCTTTTTTAATCGGGAGGAAGATCATCTCTGTGGAGGCTGCCCGGAGAAGCAAGGGGTTCCAGCTCCATACCAGACCCCCAGCCCAGGCTCTCAGAGCTGGGAAAAGAAGTCCCCATAACTACAGGCTGTAAAAACCAGTGCAGACTGGGGCTCAGTGACACAGAGGCTGCTGGAGACCCAGAGGTTCCTCTTAAAGAACCAACACATGAACCGAACTTACAAGGTTCTGCTTCCTCTGAGCGCCAGTGCCAAGGTGAGGCTCTGGGGGACACAGACACATACAAGGAGGAACTGGATTATTTGGCATCAGGGCAGGAACTTGAGGGTGGCTTTCTCCCAGACGGAGGTACTCACAGGGGTCATTGTTCCTACGCTGGGACCTCCCTGGTTGCAGGGCTGACTGGCAGTCATGTCTGTTTGCTTCACCCTGGTGATTCCCTGAGCCCCTGCCCTATCCAATTCACAACTCCACCCAACCTGTGTTTAGTGACTTTTGCATATGAATGGCCTGTCTTTGCTTAGGCTTCAGACTTCGCTAAAATCTCTCAAACAAGCTGCAGCTGGGTCAGGGAGTCTCAAATCTCTCAATAAAAAGTCCAGGAGTTTAGCCCAGATCAGCTGCTACTGCTCATTGCTGCCCTGGTTGCAAGTCTCATAGGGTCCCTTAGCAGCGGTTCTCAACCTGTGGGTCGCGACCCCTTTGGTGGTCGAACGACCCTTTCACAGGGGTCACCTAAGACGATCCTGCATATCAGATATTTACATTACAATTCATAACAGTAGCAACATTACAGTTATGAAGTAGCAACAAAAATAATTTTATGGTTGGGTCACAACATGAGGAACTGTATTTAAAGGGCCAGAAGGTTGAGAACCACTGCCTTAGAGGTTGGGAGAAACGTGCCTGGGGGGGGAAATGGTATGGGTGTGCTCCTTGGAGGGAGAGTGTACCCTGGGTCCTCTGTCCTGAGCATATATATCTCTTTCTTTCAGGTGGAAATCTTAGGGGAGGTCTTAGGGGAGGCTCTTAAAAGACTATTCATCAGTTTTCCAGGTGTGCTCTTTCAGGGTCGTGGTCTCCATTGATTGGTCAGTGCCAGGGCAGGGGGTCATTAGTCAATGCAGCTGGTCCTAAGGCAGCTAGGGTGTCACTTGCCTGGTTTTGCTGCTTTTCTGGGCCTGGAGTTGAAATGCAACTGAGGCCTAGATGTTATCTTTAGGGAGGAAAAGGTCAGGGTTCTAAACCACATGACCAGCGATATGCTAGGGGAGGACAGCTTACCCCGGGGTGAGGTTCTTGTTTTCCTAGTTTTGCCCTCGCTAGGCATCCAGAGTGTTCTGCCCTGGTGTGTTTCTATACCCGGTCCATTGTCCTTGCTCTGCTCATGTGTAAAACCCACTGATATATTTGAAGTGCATAATATAATTATATACATACAGTATATTTCTTTTTAAAATCTTTACTGTTGAAAGTATTACATACATCCCCCCTTCCCCCCATTGACCTCTCCCATCTGCCTCCGCTTCCCCAACCCAGGCTTTCACCCTCCCTACTGTCTGTAAATGTATATATATTTTTTGTGGATTTACATTTTTGAGGGGGTCTTGCTACCCATCCTCTCTTTCCTGATGTTCTTGAACATACCTTCCAATAGCCCTCCCCCCCCCCCGCACCTCCCACCTCTACCTACCCCGACTCCTTGCCACAAAGCAGCCTTGTATGTATCCCTCTGTATGGACACATGCTCATGCAGGTGTGTTGTTAATGATTACAAAAATGAGATTTTGCTTTTCTCACTCAACAGTACTCATGCAGACTCTTCCAAGTCAATGTATGTGGTTTTATTTTATGCTTTTTAATGGTAATATTACATATGTATATGTCCCATAAATATATTCAATCATTTTTTATTAGGTATTCACTTTATTTCCAGTTTTTGCTATAATCGAACATTGTAGCAATAAACATTCTTCTGTATAAGTCTATACATACTATTGCTTTTATTTCTATTGCTTTCTGGGGAAAATGAATATGGTGATTCAGTATGCTGGCTCACTCAACTTCCTGATTCTGCATCTTCCTGGTCATAACAGAGACAACAGCTCCATATCAACTCAATTCTGTGGCATGGTTTTAGCTTAGTGTCTATTTCCTCAGACCTACCAATGTTGAGTGTGCCGTGCCAGCACAGCCAAGGGTTTGGTGAGCCTGAGGAGGGGCGGTGAAGGGTTAAAGAAAAGACAGACAAAGAGAATATAGCTGGGGCTCGGTGGATCTCCTGTGCCTGGACGAGGCCACAGAGAAGGATCCAGCCAGCAAGCTGAGGCTTTATTTTATAGTCAGAGAAAAACAAGGTAGTGGTCAACATAGTTACAACGTTCTTGTAAGTTTCACTTGTCTTGGCAGCACTTGTTGTATCTCCCACAGCCCATTAGCTACCTAGGAAGGATCTAGGGGGCGGCCATACGGTCAAACTTAGTTATGCTAAGAGGGCTCTGTCCTCTAAGCTGGGACTTGTTTGTGGCTCTGCCATAGGTTGATCCGAGGCTTAACTTTAGAGCTGCTCCCTACAGTTGAGCAGGAATTAACATTGCATGTCTTATATTCCCATTACAAAGACCTATTTATTTTTCATCATTGCTACCGGGCAGGAAGACCCAGCTCCATGCAGCTCCCTCTTCCTCTATAAATGTGGGAGCTCTCAGAGAAATGCTAGACTTTATTCACTCCTCTTCCGTTAGGCAACTGGGTACAATGATCTCATTTGTTGGTTGTCTGTTTTGGGGTACACAGAGAAGAAGAGAGAGGCCACTGTTTTTTTAAAACCACTCATATGGTTGATATTCAATAATCACCAAAAAGATGTGTTTGAATACTCTTGTACTGTGCCTCTTCCCTTTGTAGTTTTCCTGAAACTTTCACATTTAAAAAATCATCATTTGAGGATGGGAATGAAAACTAAGTCAAACAGTGCATTTATTGAAATCATTTATTTCAACACAGGTATTGTTTTAAAGGTGTGCTTTGTCTCATTTCACATCTGGAGAACAGTTTGAGAACAAGTATATAAAAGGATTATTTGACAGCATTTTAACAAAAGTGCTTAAGGCTTATTTGTTTCAGGACACAGGAGTTCCTGTTACAAAGAGCCCCTAAGTGGTAATACATCACAAACTTGCTTTGAGAATAAAATATTTACACATTTACACTGTACATCTAACTGGGATATTCTGGAGCAGTACTAACATTAACAATAAACTCTTACCAGTAAGGTCTCTTTAATCCACTGGCATCCTTTTACAGTTTTTCCAATTTGATTCCCTTCTTCACCATCACCTAAGTGGACTTTCTTTCATAACCTCCAATACAGGCACCAAGTTACCTCCTACAGTCACTTTTATTAGCTTATTATCAGCCAAAAGCTTGTTAGGAGCAGTTAGAGTTTTATTAACATCAATGTATTTACAATGTAAGGGAATAAATTCTTTAGTGAAAAGTCTCTAAAAATTAAAATAACCTCATTAGGCCCTATTTTAAATGGACTTTACATTTAAAAATTTATGGCTTTAGAAGTCCATTATCTAAACAAGTTAATAATTTACCAGATACTTATTAGTATTGATTCTCCCTCCTGGATTATTCCATTTATAAGTATAAAAATTACTATTATAAATTACTACAGCTATACCAAAAATGGATATTAAAAAGCAGTAGTTTTTATGTTAAAATACATAGAAATTTTCTGTACTTCTTTAACGAAGTGTTTTATAAAAGTATAAAACTATAGAAGGTGCTATTTTAATACATTTTCTGTTTTCTTGATTCTTAAGCCAAACCAACAGCAAACATTACAAATCGTGCAAGTGAGTGCTGACCATCAGTTACCTTTGAAACCAGATATAGTAGATTCCAGTGCAAAGATTCCTCACCTTAACTTACCTATGTTAACAATGTTGTTTCAATGTTAATATAGCCTAAACTCAGTGAAAAATAAGCTAACTTCATCTCCTCTTTTGTAGCATACATGTAGACTCAGATATTTACTGAAATAGAACTCAAAAGCTGGTCATTAAAAAAAAGTCAAGAATCAATATTAAAATATTAATTGAATATCTTTAAATTACATAGAAAATATAGGTCATGGTTTATGAAAACTTTACTTAAATAAGCAGATAAATAGAAAAAGGGAAAGGTAGAATTTACAAACATTCATAACACAAAATATTAAATGTTATTTATTTTTTACCATACAAATTCAAATTAGAAAATATAGAATAGTTGATTTGAAATTCTATTATCAGTCTCTTTAAGATCAAGATTGGTCAGAGCCTGAAGTTTAAAACAATTTACAGATTTAAGGATTAGCTCTCAAGTCAGTTACCACATCTTCATTAGTTTTGAGTTGCATGGGAACAACATAAACTTGCCCTAGCATTTTGCTTCTAAGCCAGGCAATGATTAAGAAGATAATGATAATATAGCACTGTCTTGAATTTTATCAGTTCCAGATCTCCATACAGGTCACCAACACCTATCATCATCCTTAATTTATATGGATAAAACAGACTAGTGCAGAAGTAAGTATAAAGCAAACAAGTATAAGCTCACTCATGTTGACCTTCACAGTACTAAGTTGGCATGCTTTCTGTAGTTTTAGCAAATTAATCTTTATTCTGATTAAGAGGAGAGAAATCCCCCTGAAGTTCTGCATGGCAACTAAAGCGTTAGGAAAGTCAGGTTATCAGAGCGTATGGGAAGTTATTTCGTTGGATAAATTACCGAAAGAATCATAGTAACAAGCCCTCAGAAGCTCTGCCTTGTTCTTTCTAAGGGTTTGGTAAATGATCCCACAGGTTAGGGACTTGGCCAAGGTTACCACTGGAAACTGATGACTACAATGTCCCACATGGAAAAAAGGATTCAATCCTGCAATGAAGAAATGGAAAAATGTAGTATGGAAATGGGAAAAACCAGTTGCTTAGAGAGCTGCAATAGGAATTTCAGTCTAAAGAAGGGGTGTCTACTTGTCTCCACCACTCAGTTATGTTTCTTTCCTAAGCAGAAATTCTGTGGCCAAGCCTTCTGTCCTCTCAGGTCCTTGACTTAATTAAAATTTAGCTCTTAAGAATTCAGCCAATTCTTACAATTTCAAAGGAATTCCTACAAGTGTTGTTTGGCTTCCTAGGAATTCAGCTCCTTATCTATCATCTCAATAAGCACTCAAGACATGTGCCTCCCTGGCTCCACCGCGGATACAACAGGAAGTCCTTATAAAAATTCCTTTTTTCTTTGTCAAAGAAAATAAACCCTAAACCCTAAACCTCCTAAATGTTGATGAGTTAAATAGGATGATACTATTTACACCACTGTCATCATCCCTACATTTTATTTAATGCCATGATATGGGGTGTGGGCCAGAGGAGGTCAATAGAGTTTTGCAGTTGAACTAGCTAACTAGTAAGTTTTGTATGTGTTTGGGATATTAGGGTTGTAAATCACAATGAAAGGTCTAAAAAAAAAAAAAAGTCAGGGGGAAAGTAGAGCAGAAAGCCAAAATTGAACAGTGAACTAGAGACTAAACTGGGTGTGGGGAGGAAGGCTAAGGATATATACAGAGGAAGAAAATAGCAGAGAATCCCTCAAAATGAGAATTGATTGCTGTGGAATTCAGGAAGTAGAGGGAAAAAAGAAAAAGAATTTGGGTTGCTTCAGAGCAGGTACTGCCCAAATAGATTTTCTTTTTTTTTATATATTTGTTCTTCCCATAGACACACACAATTATACTTAATTTCCACTATCAGCTTTTGGAGAAAAGGTTATGCATTTTATTGAAAAAAGCCTCACAGTTCTGACTCTTTGTCATTTTCATCCAGGTAGTACTCATCATCTGTGGTTGTGTCTGTGTCACAGTCTGAGTCCAGTGGATCCTCTTCATAGATATTAAGTGGTACATTTGGAGGTAAGCCACCTTCTGGCGTCAGATTGCTAGGAGAATCTGAGCTCGATGACTCCATGGGGTTAGGAGGGTGAACTATTTCATCTTTCAGGAAGCCAGGGTTCTTCAGAAAACTTGGTTTCCAGAGCCTTCCTTGTGTGAGTGACCTCTTTACATTCTCCAAGAAAGCCAACTGCTGCTCTTTCCCAAATATCCCATAGTCAATAGGCCTGGATATAGATGTTGCTGACTTGGGACCCGTTTCTGCCCTGCCACTCTGCAAAGCCCAGCTTTCATTTTCATCACAGGAGGAAAGTTCAGAAAAGGACTTGAATCTTCGACTGGACTCACTGTTGTTAGGGAATTCGTGCCCAAGGGTCAGGCGGCTCAGGGCATTGTCAATAGAAGTGCTTTCAGAAAAATGGCGCTCCCTGGCTTTCGGAGGATGACTTTGGCGTAGCAGATTGCCGTGCACATGGATATTTTTTAAACTCTTTGAACGATAGGGGTGTGGTTCAGGTTCCCACTCCTGAGATGCAGTGCTCCTTTGTTGTTGCTGACACATGGCCAGCGGGATGCTCACTGTAGATTTCTCCGCAGGCTCCAATGGTAGACGAGGGGTCAGCCTCCTCGAATGGCTGGAGAAATCGACTTCGCTGAGGCTGGTGAAGGTGGGTTGGGCCAGGGTACCTGACTCTCTTTCCAAACTCTGAACTACTGTTACATCTTTAGAATTCTCATGCTTTGGTGGTGATTCTGAGATATTTCTAAACTCATCCAGACGTGGTTGTGAAATGCTGCTAGACTTCTGATTGCTTAAGTGTGTGGAAGCTTCTCTGTTGGGTATCATAGTAATCTGGAAAGGGTCCTCAGATTTCCTCACATCCATTCCATCATGATTCAACTTGTTTTCATCTGTAGATTCTGTGGACTTTGGGGTAGGCTCAGGGGACACTGGGTTGCAGTCTGGTGTGCCAAGAGATAAACCACCGAAACCAGAGCTGTTCTCACCTGGGGGGAAGATAGTAGCTATATGTCTTCTGGGGCTTACATCTTTAGCTGGAAATTTTCTGCTTGCTTTGGACATGGCCGCCAATCTGTGTTTAACGGAAGATCTGCTTTTCCCCTTTTCTAGGTCATCCAAACTGGTTTTGTCTTTATTGCTTCCTGCAGGAAGTGAGAGTTGATCCCATGCCAACCCCTGTGTTTCATCTTTAGCCTTCCCCTTCTTTGTCAGAGTTACCTCCTGACTTCTTTGAGGTAGTTCTTTGGGTTCCGACTGCAAACTATCCAAATCTCGTTCACCTGAACAAGTCTCCTCATCAAGATGTAGTTTATGCAAAGCTGGCGTAAGAGCAAAGACTTGGCTTTCTGAGTCAGAAAGTGCTTTATCCGTCTTTCTTTGGAAATCTGCTCCTCTGACTTTCCTAGGCTGCAATCCATCGGAGCGGTCATCTTTAGCGATTCCCGTGCTGACTTTCTGAAGACACTTTGCGCTTCCAGTAGTTGTGATGGCTACACCACCACCTGCACACCCCCCAGAACTACTTCTGGTTTTCAGATTTTCAACGTTCCCTTCTGAATGGGCTGGAGGATTAGCAGATTTAATGGAGTGCTGACAATTTTCAGATTTCTCTTCTGTGACTTTTTCCCCCTGAAGCATTGATGAAGTATGCAGGGTTTCACTTTGCAACTTTCCCCCCCTCTTTTTCTTGCTTTGTGAATCACCTAGAGGTGTTTTAGCTAAGTTATCTGGGGTAGTTTCTCTAGTTTTAGATTCTCCTTTATGAAGAGAAACATCTGCCTCAATAGAAGCCATTTCCTGTAGTGTGGGTTCTGAGGGCCCAATACTTGGTAATTGTAAAACAGTCTCATTCTCAGTGTTGTGAGAAAGGCAACTGCTGTTTTCCTGAGACTTTAGGTCTTCAGATGAAGTTGTTCCTGACTGCTCTTGTGCAGAATGATTCAGTTTCTCTTTTTCTAAAGTATCAGGGAATGTTTCAGATGCCACTTTAGTTGATTCTGTAAGTGAGTCAATATTTTCAGTATACTTTTGGAGGAGGCTACAGAATTTTTTGCTGTGTTTCCTTGGTAGAGTGTAATATATTGACACGATCTCAAGACACTTTACATTCTCTTCATCACCAGAAACAGAAAACATGCTCGTAGTCTTAACTTTATGTAATGTTTTCCCACTTTTTCCCCCTGACATAGCCGAAGAAAGGGGTAAAGGGTCTTCATTTGAAAGGGAAAATGTACCTGTCTTGGAGGCAACAATTTTACCATCCTTTTCAATGCATTCTTGACAGTGTTCCTTTCCGTGGTGTCTTTTGGTTAAAGAACAATCCCTAACAGATGAGTCACTTTCCAGAGGGTTCAAGGTTTTCTCCCAAGGTTGTAGTGTTATAGCAGAAGCATCCATGTCTGTGATCAAGCATTTTTCTCTCTCATCTTTCCCAAGGGAGGCATATGGTACCCCTAAAGGACATGACACAGCCCTCTTGATGAGGAATGGAAGGGGTCCTTTTCTAATGAAAGCAGGCCCAGTGTTTGTCATCCTCTCTGTGGCTTTAGGCCCAGCTGAGGCCGAGTCTGAAACTACTTTGGAACAGCTGATTTCTGACTCAGAAGAACTGGGGCTGAACTTGTTTGATGTGTTTCTCCCTATTGGATCCTCTACATCAGTTTCAGATTGGCGTGGAAGTTGCTTATTCCTAAATGAAGGAGCCATTATCTTACTTTCTGACTTCCTGCTGTTAATGGGGAAACTGTCTGCTGTTCTTGGTAAGCTACAGTAAATTGTGTGGAGCTCAGGAGCCTTGGGATCACTTGGATTCACCTCCATGAGGCTACTGCTGCCACTTGTGGGTGCTGATTTACTTTCTGTTTTGCTCAACTTTTCAAGATAGGATATACGCCGTCTTACTTTTCCTTTTCCCCTTCCAGCCCTGACAGGAGAATGTGAATGGGGTTTGACATCAACCACTCTGTGATGGATAGGCACAAAACTAGCATCTCTGCTTTCATTTTCTGAAGGGCTCAAGGTAAACGGATTATTTTCATGCTTGCTATTATTGTCTTCATTTTCTTTTTCTCTCAAAGATGGATCTTTGCCTGAAAGGCTTTTCCCAGAGAACACTGTAGTAGAAGGAACTATCAGAGCACCAAGGAAACCATTATTTGATGGCGAAGAATCTGGTGCTGTACCTGATGGCAGACCTAAAGAATCACGTGGGATACTGTGGCCCGCAGTTGACTTGCTACCATTGGTGGAATGCGTTTTGGTACATTGTTCTTCCTTGGTATCTAAAATAGCAGACATTTCTGGTGACTGTGTATTTTGATTACCAGTAGATTCAGAGCTCCAGTGGCTACTTTCAATAGTACTTGAAATAGCTTCATTACTTACTGTTAACTCCTGGAGGCCACCTTCACTTGGGCTGGGAGTCAATGATGGTATTCTGCTCTCTTGAATGAAAGGAAAGAAAGTTGCTGGGCCAAGTTTTCTGTTTTCAGTGTAACTCTGATCTTCCTTTGGTTCATTGGCCTTACCTCCCTGTGATATATGCATTTTGGAGACATCTTTCCCAGAAATGACTTGGGGTGACTTTTTTGAACTTTTTGTGGTCGATGCATTAAAAACAAGTCCATTGGTTTTGGCAGAGTCTCGGGAGAGGGGACTTTGAAAATCAGCTAAAGGATTAGAGATTACTGTCTCTGGTTGGGGCTTTTCACTTGTTGTGTTTGTCTGGTCCATCTTGTTTAGTTGTTTGTCTTTTTCCAAAATAGATCCATTCAAGTCTTGCTCATCATTCACTTCTGAGGCCAAGATATTGGGTTGGCTTTGAGTAAGAGGTGGGGAATCAACTGAATCGCTGTTGGTCACAGTGACTTCTGTGTAGCTTCTTATTAGAAGAGAGGCAGGCTTACTTTTCTGCCAAGTGACCGTGGGATTCTGAACATTGGGACCCTGACGATTCCCTTTGTCATCGGAAATCTGGGGGAAAGAACTTCTGAATGAGGATGCCAGAGTCGGAGCAGTTCCAAATGAGTAAGGTTCTTTGTTTCCATGTACTTCTACAGGAGAACTGTCCTGTTGACATCCTAACCCCCTAGATTTGATGTGATAGTTTGAACCCACCATGGAGCACATATTTGGTGTGCCAAAATGAGTCCTCTGGTTTCCATTACCTTGTGACACCTCCATGCTCTCCAGAGTAGACGTCTGAGGATCAAACTGCCAGGGATATGGCTCTTCTTGGTCTCTGGAAATATCTGTTCTGTAGCTAGGTGAAAATGATGCCCAGTGTTGGGAAGAAACATTATGGCCGTGGCCAGCTGATGCACAGTTTGCCTCAGGGGAAGTCATTTCAAAGTCTCTGTCAGAAGTGAAAGGTTTCCTACTTTGACGAAAGCCAGACCAGGGAGCATGTTCTTCCTGTTGGCCCCCGAAAGGACTTTGTCTAAATCTCTGTTGCCTGCTTCGTCCAAAGGTATTGCTAAAAAAAGACCTCGCAAATGGGTTGTCTTGACGGTAGAATGGCATGTTCTCTGAGTTCTCAAACGGGTCAGGACTCACTGTGCGATCCATGGGGGAATTTAAACTTACATTCTGGTAAATATTCTGTGAACGATAAAATTCATATCTCCTAGTCTCCTGAAAACACCTGGGATACATATACTGGTCGGCAGGGTCAATTTCCATTGGTGATGGTGCCCTCAGGAACTCTTCCTGGTTCGGCCTCTCTCCAGAAGAATCTGATCTATTCCATATGATGGATGATAAAGGAGTTCTCTTTGGGCTCTGCTGGTGGCTTGGTGGCATAAACCCACTCTTGTTCTGAGTAGTGGCTGGAAAATGTATGCTTCTTGTTGAGAAACGCCCTGTGGCTGGTGAGGCTAATCGTTGCCTGCTGTCAAAACACAGAGAAGTACTGCCGAAAGCATTCTTTTGCGCATAATCTTCTTTTAAAACTCGGGGCTCCCTTGTTCTGTACATATCATAAATGGTCCTTGTTCTAGGAGAAAAGGTTCTAAATCCTTCTCTAGGGGCTCCTGGTCTGAGGATGTCATAGACAGACATATTAGAAGTTTCATTAGCGTGGTTTTTGTGCCTTCCTGTGGTATTTCCATGTTGGTTCCCACTGGAGTAAAAATGACTGAACTGTGTTCTTGGTCCATAGTTGAGAGGCGTTCTTGAATTCACTGAGCTTGAAGACTGCTCCTGAGCCAGGGTGCTATCCAAGTCATCTAAAACTGAAAGGAGAATATGAGTGACATTTTGGTATAACATTTTAGCTTATGTTGGGGCCCCTCTTGAAGAAACATAATAATTTTATGTTTATCATATTATCATAGATGTGATGACATTAATTTTGATTATAATTTTACAATAGTCTGACTTTTACAAAGCTGTAATGAAAGTTTCTTTTTCATACTTTTTCAAAGTTAACCTTCCATAATGCCTTAATGGACATAAAGCTACATTTCCCCAAATGACAGGTTTTAACCGTGGCTTCTTTTAGTACTTCTTTTGTGTCACTAAGTGGCTAAAGTATTTACAGCCATGTTTACCTCAGAGGATTGTAATAGAAATGAGTCTGTAAACAACATGTGATTTCTCAGTTCTACATTAAGAAAACAGTATTACCACCAAAAGTTTAACACCTAATTTATAAACATACTTACTTGGATGGATTTGAGCAATTCATAAAATTTAAAGTTCTATACAATATTGTTAAATGATTTGCTAATGGTAGATTGTTTTTCCTGGAAAAATTAAGACCTATTAGTACTCGCTTATTGAAAAAAATTTATTGGTTGATTTTAGAGAGAGAGGAAGGGGGAGAGAGAGAAACATCGATTTTTGTAGTTCCACTTATTTATAAGGCCCATTAGCACTCCTTTAAGATAGCACTTCCTATGTGTCATGCACAATTCTAAGCACTTAAATTTATTAACTCATTAAATCCACACCTAACCTTATAAGATTTGGTATTATTACTAGTCTTGTTTTAAAAATGAGGAAACGGAGGCACAAAGAGATGAGGTAAGTTGCTAAGGTCACACAGCTAGTAAGTACATGGATACAGGCAGTCTGTCTCCAGAGGTCATACACGCAACCGCTGTGCAAGGCCACCTCAGTGCCGTAAAAGTTCACTTTTCACTATTTCTTTTAATGGATTATAGAGATGATTTCACTATGAGCTCACAATGTTACAAGGTTGGGAATGGCCACTGTCAAACAATGTTTACCTTTCTCTCAGTAGCAAGGTCAGAGAATGGTGTCCAAGTTAGGACCTAGTGACCTTCTCATGCCAAGGACCTAGGCCAGTGATGGCGAACCTATGACACACGTGTCAGAGGTGACACGCGAACTCATTTTTTTGGTTGATTTTTCTTTGTTAAATGGCATTTAAATATATAAAATAAATATCAAAAATGTGTCTTTGTTTTACTATGGTTGCAAATATCAAAAAAATTTCTATATGTGACACGGCACCAGAGTTAAGTTAGGGTTTTTCAAAATGCTGACACGCCGAGCTCAAAAGGTTCGCCATCACTGACCGAGGCCAACCCCAGACCAGTGCTCGGGCTTCCTAGGTCCACATCTCTGTGCTCAGACCAGTCACAGGGTATTTGCAGTTGGTTTCTCTTTGAATTGTGTTTATTTAATCATATTTGACATCTTTTTCTCAATAAAAACCTGTTAGAATTTAAATAGGACCATAATCTTCTAAAGTTTTAAGATTCCCTAAAGCCCACATTGTAGTAGATATAATTTTACCATATTCATGTTACAATGACTATAAGTCGATGACACCTTTATTGAAGAAATGTTCATTCAAGAAGATAAAATCTTTATGAGAAACAAGTTAGGGGATTATTTAAATTGCTAAGGCGTTTTTACAGAAATCTTTCATTCTGAGTTACATAAAATGGTGCACTCTCCTCGGTTATTTAAAATTACTTGTTATCAAAACATTTGATTTTGACTCTTCAATGATAGGGAAAGCGAGGCATATCAGTATCTGAGTGAATGTAAGTGTGATGTACTTGTGACATGTCAATTAGGGCAGGTGCTGAAGGGGTTTTTGGCCTCTGTTCTGGATTACCCCTACCCTATATTATTTGTAAGTTGGTGCTATTAAGTTTGCACAGCCAGTAGAAGAACTGATCTTGAGCCTTAATGATCTGTAACTAAGGAATTCCTCAGGGAATCATCCTGTCAGTGCTTTAATGAAAAAAAAAAATTATCTCATCTCTGAAATCATTTATCCCACATATCCACAAATAAAATAATCAAGCAATGCCAAACTATAGGTGGGGCAAAAAAGGAAATGCTCCAAAAACAACAATAACACAAAACCAAAACTATGTAATGAGTAACAATAATCTGCCTTTAAAATAATTATAATAAAATCTCCTTGATTGCTATTCTCCCCTTTAAGCTGTTCATAATTTTTCTTTCCTGAAATAAAGTCTTTTGCTGACTATAAAAGCAATATGTGGTGAAAGGGCGAGGGCTACGCCCTCCATCTTGCCCCGTATCCTCCATTTTTGGGCAGCCGTGTGCTCAGCAAGCAGCTTCTTCCCAGAAGCCCAAGCCTCTGCTAGCCACGCCCAGGATTTCTTTAAACTAACCAATGACAATCAAGGGACGTGCATGCCATAGATATGACCACATCCTGTGTAACAAGACCCGACTTGCACCTGGCCAATCGGCAGGGCCCACAGTCATCTCTCCTCCCCTCACTCCACCCCCCTATTAAAAACCCCTTTTTCCCATGGGGGTGGCACTCTCGTCTCGCCGCTGCGTTGGTAGAGGCTGGGAGCCAAACCCGGGTTTGTGATAATAAAGACTCTCTGCTTTTGCATCGGACACGGCTGGCTCCCTGTTGGTCTATTGGGGATCTTGAAATCTGGGCATAACAGTGGTTATAACAGAACATACAGGAAAGAATAACGAAAGAGGTAAAACCACCTGGAATCCTCCTCAGAGGGAACCACTCCTTACATCCCCATAGAATCCCAAATTAACAATGGTGTTTTACTAACTACTCTTGAGGTTAAAAAATAAAAAATAAAAAATAAATCCTGTTCTGCTTCTCCTCTTTATTTCCAGAGAGGCCAAGTCATTTTTTCCATTTCATATACCATTGCTCTCCTCTACCAGCAAAACCCTTTTCTGAAACAGAGATTTTCCTCTGGGTCTCTTTCCTCGGAAGCAGGTTCTCTGCCGGGAACCATGTTACTAAAAGGGGTCCCCCGGTTGCCAGTCAGCTGGGTGCCTCTCACTGACCCCCTCACCTGTCCCAACTACAGGGCCTAGGTGATGTCACTGCCCTTGCAAATTGAATTTAGTTCTGCAAGTGAAGCTGGGGGATGACTTCAGAGTTACTTTTCCAATGGCCAGGCTTCTTTTGATACAGAATAACCTATGTAAATGTGAGCTATATTCACATAATAATAACATCCATGCGTGTGTTGTACTTTTGGAATCTCTTTCTTTATTGCTATCTATCGTACAAGGTTAACTGTTTAACAACAATTAGATTTCATCACAGTGCATTTAGGTAGGTCCTAATCAGTAACAATAAAAGCTCACTAAGAACAGTAAACTTTATAGATACATTTCCTAAAGGTGCATTTCCTTTTCAACTGAGGTTAAATATTAAACATTATGACCATTCCATAGATTTATCAGCCTTGGTCTGAGAATATTTGCTTAGATTATATTTAAACTTAAGAGTCTTTAATATTTGTGTTAATAACATATAACAGCATCCTCTCTTTAAGTAAGGTAAACAAGAGGATTTCAAAAATAAAGTAGAGTTTGATATGTTTTGAGGGTTTTCATACAAACTGTAATTATTTGCTTTAGTTTAGGGAGTTGCAAAGAGGATTTAATGCATAGACTTACCTCGGAAAAACTCGTTGTCTAGCACAGAAGCACCCCACGGGGGCACACTGCTTCCCTCCCTCATGCCTGCTGGCCTGGGCGCAAATGCACTGTTCACTGGGTGGTTTTCCAGAGGTGAACTGTATCGTTTTGCCTGCTAATTTTAAAATAGAAAATGCAATATTATTTCTGGAACTTCTGTAGAGAGAATACTCACATATTCCCACAGAAATTTTCATTGCTTAAGAGTACTACTCTAAGGACTGCCATCAATTTTTCTAACATTTGTTCCTCAACTTAATAGTGTTTTGTTGTTTCTATCATTTTCAAGTGATCACAAACTTCTCCTTACCTATGTCAATTCTTTTTACTATGAGTCTTCAGGCAAGATATTGAGTCTTTCTCTGTCAAAAACTCCTATAAACTTAAACAGCACCATACAAACCTTAGGGAAATTCTTGAAAAACAGGAAAGAAATTGAACTCTCTTAAGTTGGGAGCATTGTCTCCATGGCCCCAATGGCTAGAATTTTAGATTTCTTAACACTGTACCTATTCTATCAAGAGATGGTTAGCTGAAGCTTGAAGTAGACCTTAAGATTTGTGAACTTCCCTTTTCTCCACATCCTTGCACTGCTGGTGGGAATGCGGATTGGTGCAGCCACTGTGGAAAGCAGTATGGAGTTACCTCAAAAAGTTAAAAATGGAGCCCTGGCCAGTGTGGCTCAGTGGTTAAAATGACGGTCCCTGCACTGAAGGGTCACAGGTTCGATACCTGGTCAAGGGCATGTACCTGGGTTGCAGGTCTGATCCCTGGCCCAGGTCCGGGCATGTGGGGGAGGCGACCAATTGATGTGTCTCTGTCTCACACATTGGTGTCTCTCTCTCTCTCTCTCTCCCCTCCCTCCTTACCTCCCTCCCTCTCTCCCTTCCACTCTCTTTCAAACCTAATGGGAAAATATCCTCAGGTGAGGATTAACAAAAAATAATAAAAATAAAATAAAAATGGAGCTGCCTTATGACTCAGTGATTACACTTCTGGGAATTTATTTGAAGGAACCCAAAACACTAGTTTGAAAGGATATATGTATCCCTGTGTTCATTTCAGTGTTATTTACAAAAGCCAAGATTTGTAGATGAGTGGATGAAACAGCTGTGATACATTTACACAATGGAATACTACTCTGCTGTAAAAAGGAAGAAAATGCTACCCTTTGGGATAGCACAGATGGACCTGGAGAGCATTATGCTAAGTGAAATAAGCCAGTCAGAGAAAGACAAGTATCATATATATGATTTCACTCATATGTGGAATCTAATGAACAAACTGAACTACCAAGCAAAATAGAGACAGACTCAGAGAAAACTGGCAGACAGCTCTGGTGGTGGTGGTGGTGGTGGTGGTGGTGGTGGATCAGTTGGGGGAAGGGAGAAGGGATGGAGCAAAAAAGAAAAAAAGAGAACTCATAGACATGGACAACAGTGTGGTGATTTCTGGGGTGGGAGGTGGGTGGCGGTGGCAGAGGGCATGGAGGGGACAAAAGGTGACATTAAATTAAATTAAAAAAAAATTTTGTGAACTTGCCCATGCCTCTGTAGCTCAGTAGCTCTCACATCAATGTATGGATCTCTCTCTCTCTCTCTCTCTCCCTTCCTCTCTCTCTAAAAATCAATAAACTATTTTTTTTTTTAAAGAACTTGATGGATGTGGCAGGGGAGGGAGTACTTTTATCCAAAGAGTTCACTTAGAATGGTAGACCCTACCAGAAAGACACAAGATGCTGATTCATAGTTTGGAAACCCAGGTGCTGAAAAGTATGACCTTGTAAAATTTTTCAAAAATCATTGCTAGCTTTACGGGATTTAGGAGAATGATGTAGAGCTAACGTTGCTTTCTTTACTAGCAAATGTTTATTTTGATTTCATCAAACCCATCACTGCCCTACTTTCAAGCTTAATTTGTCCTCATAACCTTGGGGGAATTATCCACTCCCACACCTTCACTTTCTTGCGCCACAACTTCATTTGCATTTCCTCTGCCAAACTGGCTCTGTCACTCCTGACTCCACCTCAGCTAATCCTGCACCCATCCCTGAACCATTCCAGCATCTTTGTTTTCAGTCCCCTCTGTGACCCAGTCCTTGCCTCTTGACTCCTTTCCTTTCCCAAGTTTTCCCTTCCCATTTGATGTTCACTATTACATTTCATCTCACTCTGAAAGCCTCAGCACAAATCTTTAATCTTTCCAAAACTCCAACTTCTCTCCTTCTCCAGCACAGGTCTGTCCAGTTCTAAAGCTCAGGTTCCCTTAATCCCTACATTCCTCACAATCTAGTATTTTCACTCCTGCCTGTTTTCTTTCTCAAGATCTAGGTCAGTTATTATAGAAGCCCTGCCCAAATTTCATTGACTTGTGGCATTCAGTTCTATGGGAAAGCCGTAACTGAATGCATACAAGGAAGATTTATTAATAAGAAACAATCCAATCATACTATGTTGGTTATTGCATATAATTTAACACATTAATATAAAATTCAGAAGTAAACAAACGTTAGAAGCAAAACATAACTAGTGAGATACCAACTGTAGGTAATAAAACCAGAAGCTAATCATTTGAAAAATCAGATCAGTTACAGCTAAATTCTTTTCTTTGTAAAACTGCATCAAGACATTGTTCTCTTTTGGGCCCTTCCTACTGTCTCTCCAAGTCTTCATTTGTGCTAATAACAATTGTCATGCATCGTATAAGTCCATTCTCCCCAAATCTGCAGTCTGGTAGTTGGTACAGACTAGGAACATCTGATTAAGAGAATACATTGTCTCTCATACATTTAAAATATATATATTTTTATTGATTTCAGAGGAGAAAGGAGAGGGAGAGATAGAAACATCAATGATGAGAGAGAATCATTGATTGGTTGCCTCCTGCATGCCCCACACTGGGGATCAAGCCTGCAACCCGGGTATGTGCCCTGACAAGGAATTGAACCATGAACTCCTTGTTCATAGTTGATGCTTAACCACTGAGCCATGCCAGCTGGGCATCTCTGCCTTTTTAACACCCACACAAATGTCAGATTTCCTCTATGTGGACCAGAGTACACTCTTGTGGCCTCCTGGGTCACAACCCTTTATAATGAAAATATATATTAAAATGAAAATATAGGAACCGAGGGCTCAGGTAAAAAGATGAACCCCTTTAAGCTGGGAAAGATTACTACCACCTAGAGACCTTGCATATAACCTCCTTTGGCTGTATGTCTGCCAGATCCTCTACTTCAAGACCAACCCTGCTCACCCAACATGTTAAGAATGCTTCTAACACAGAGAGATCTAAACTATATGAATAAGATAAAATATGGAGAATTTACTTGCACTCAACTTTAATTCTGCAAGAATTTTTTTCCAGTGATGAAACGTAAAAAATGAACTGCTAGACAGTGGTAGGTATCAGACATAGAGAAGATTGAACTCTACCAGTGCCCTAGGGACCCCTTTTGCTTAAGCTGTATGTGAGATATTATTATTAGCCGCAACAGCAACTATACACTAATTATTCTAGGCAATGTGCTTAGGGCTTCATACGGATTACTTTATTTCAGTATTTTAACAACTCTATGCAGTTGGTACTATTATTTTTCCCACTTTGAGGAAAGTGTGTTTGCAAGAAGTCAGGCCACTTGCTTCAGGTCGCAGGGGTGGCAGGAAGGATTCATTTCCAGGCTGTCGGATTATGGAACCCAGGCTGAGTCACCTCTCACTACTTTTTTATTAGTTTATCAGTGTCCTGTACCCTAGCGATAGGCATCTTCTGAGGCCAAGCACAGGTCTTAGAGCCGCTGGACAACACCTGGAATTTCTCGATACCCAGAGCAGAGGTAACATCCTCCGGGCCCAAAGCACACGGATCCTGTCAGGGCTCAATTTTGGCCTCAGAATCCCCCCCCAAATAATGTCCCATGCCATGAGGCTGCCATAAAAAATAAAGTGTATTTTCCATTCCTGGCCTAGAAGATGAGGTTGAAACACCTCTATGCAGCAAAATTTTGCCCAAATAATTTTCCAGCTTTTGATTTAAGCCTTTCCCTCCCCAACTCTCTTCAAGGGCCCTGTGCTCTGAGTGCACCACACAGTTCTCTAAAATGCTGCACTCATCTTTCTCGGCCTCCACGCGCCCGCAACAAGGCACATGCCCCTGACCGGAACCGAACCCGGGACCCCTCAGTCTGCAGTCCTGCATGTCTCTAAACAACTCTGAGCTGCATGTCTCTGCTCCTGGCCTTTGCTCTTTCTCTTCTTCTCCTCCTGGAAAATATTAGCTCACCCTTCAGAGTCTAGTTCACATATCATGGTCTCTGTGAGCCCTTCTCCAATTCTCCCAGGAAGAATGAATAACCACAGTATATTTGTATGCGCCTCTGGTATGATAGCTATTACGTCACAGCAAAGTCGTTTACATTCTCATCAACTCTTAAATTACTCCTAAATTCATTTTTCAATACACTTTCAAAATAACCTATCTCATTTGATCCTTAGAACAAATTTGTGAATGAGGTAAGGATTATTATTCCCATTTTGCAGATGAACAGAGTCTTGGGTAAGTGATATGAATAATAAATGGTAGCACTGGCTACTCACACTCACTGGATCTGATCCCTAACCCTGTTCTTTCTACTCTGTTGCTTTTACTCATGTACATATCTTCAATTAGATGGTAAATTCTCTGAAGACAGGAACTTTGCTTTAAACATTCCATGCCCTCCATGCACACCATTATGGGCTGATTTACAATATAACAAGGTAGAAAATTCAATTTATAAAATTTCTAGTACACATTATTATAGAAATTGAGATGCCGAATATTTATAACATTAGGATTCAGAAAAGCATGCCCGAGGTGAGAAAGTGTAATGGTTAAACACATGAGTTCCATAGAGATCCAAGTCCTGGCTCTGCCCCTTACTAGCTGTATAACTTTGGGCAAGTTACCACACCTTTCTGTAACTTAGTTTCTTTTTTTGGTAAAATGGGGAAAAAAATATAATAACAGCAGCATCAAAACCCCCACCTCACAAGACGAAACGAATTAAAAGTTGTAGAACAGCTTGGAATGGTGTTCCGCGTTTAGTAAGTCCGTATTGTTAGTCATTACTACTCTTCCGTGGTTTCAGAAGATTTCCTGGAGCACTGACAATGAGCTAGAAAAATGTCCCACAGGGTTAGAGGCCAGAGTCTCAAAATGCTGGCTTTTAGGATCTCAGTGACATTCTCAAACATGGTGAATCACATGTGAGCAACATGAGGCCTTTTAAAAGAACCCCAATGCACTCTACTGATATAGTTCGCAATTCTGACATGACGAGACAAACAAACCTGTTACAGAGTGACCTTAAACTATTTGAGAATTTCCTGGAGCAGACAAACCTGCAGAACGGCTGTTGGAGCAGAAGTCTAAGCTCACCGATGTTATCAAATGCCTTGGTAAAGTCAACAAAGTAATTTTTCAAGATGTTCCTGAATTTGTTCTGTGTCTGCTTTCCGGCAAAGGTCAAATTCACCAACGCACTTTGTGGCTGAAAACTACCACTCATTCATTTCTTCTTTCAATCTCTGAGTGCTCAGGTTGGGCCAGGCCGTGGGCATACACAGGTGGGCAGACAGTCCTGGCCGCAAGGAGCCCACACTGGCCCAGAGTGGTAAGTACATTGGAGGTGTGTTCCTAGGATCCCAGAGATGGCATATTATCTGACAGTAGGCCCCGCCAAAATTTGTTCAGATTTGAGGCGTGATCAAGTGGCCAAGGCCATATGTTTCGTTTCTATTCTCATCGACTACTTTGACCTTGGATTTCTCACCTGTAAGGAGATGGAGCTCAACTGACAGCAATTGCTCTTTAAGGAACATTTGGTGATTTCTGGGGATATTTTTTTTAAAAATAGTTTTGTTGATGATTTAAAAAGAGAGGAAGGGAGAGGGAGAGAGAGAGAAACATCAATCGGCTACCTCCTGCACGAGGGAATGGAGCCTAAAACCCGAGCATGTGCCCTGACCGGGAATTGAGCTGGCAACCTTTTGGTGCACAAGACGATGCCCAACCAACTGAGCCACACCAGCCAGGGCTGGAGACATTTTTGATTGTCACAACTGAGTGGAGAACCATGGACATCAAGGTAGACGCCAGGGATACTATAAACATCCTACAATACACAGGACAGCCCCAACAGAGAATTATCCAGCCTCAAATGGCAATAGCACTGAGGGTGAGAGCAACTCTCAGCTGCATGTCTCTAAATTTCTCTCTGTTTTCTCAAACCCTTTGTTTCTTTCTTTTTTTAAAAAAAATATATTTTATTGATTTTTTACAGAGAGGATGGGAGAGAAACGGAGAGCTAGAAACATCAATGAGAGAGAAACATCAACCAGCCGCCTCCTGCACACCCCCCACTGGGGATGCGCCCGCAACCAAGGCACATGCCCCTGATCGGAACCGAACCCGGGACCCCTCAGTCCGCAGGCCGATGCTCTATCCACTGAGCCAAACCGGCTAGCTCAAACCCTTTGTTTCTTTTAAACCGAAGCAAAATGTTTAAATAGCAGCTTTCTTCTCTTTTGAGTGGAAGGTTATCTAATAATGTAGTACAGTCTCCTATAAAATACCAGAATCCTCTTTGCACCATTCCTGCCAGGTTGCCAACCAAGTGATGGGAAGTTCATTACCTTAAACCTTAGCAAGAATCCCTCTGGCATCAACAGCCAACTTCCAGCTTCCTGCAGGCTTAAGGGGATAGAGCTTCCATGAATAAGTAATGGAAACCTACATATCATACAAAACCTTTGTTTTAGACCAGGAGTGAGGAACCTTTTTTCTGCTAAGGGCCATTTGGATATTTATAACGTCATTCTGGGGCCATACAAAATTATCAACTTAAAAATGAGCCTGCTATATTTGGCCAAACATTTAATTAACTCACCCCTAATGGCTTGGCAGGGCCAGGCCAAATGCTTTTGTGGGCTTTATACACCCCAGAGGCTGGATGGTCCCCACCCGGTTTTAGACAGTAGTTTTTTTTGTTTTTGTTTTTTTTTAATATATTTTATTAATTTCTTACAGAGAGGAAGGGAGAGGGATAGAGAGTTAGAAACATCGATGAGAGAGAAACATCAATCAGCTGCCTCCTGCACACTCCCTATTGGGTATGTGCCCGCAACCAAGGTACATGCCCTTGACCGAAATCGAACCTGGGACCCTTGAGTCCCCAGGCCGACACTCTATCCATTGAGCCAAACCAGTTAGGGCAACAGTAGTTTTATTATTTTCTCCCTCCTACTTCTTATAAAAGTTATTAACTGGGATCAACAATCAGTGGTGCGAGTTGCATGTATTTTCCCAGTTCTGACCTTTTATATCAACACGCTACACACAGTGAAATGGTTAAATGCAAGCAGCAATCGACAATGCCAAAGAAAGAAATCTATTAATCCCCCCATTGGGTTTTCAAATCCGAGAATTCCAAATTGGCTCTAGTGTTTTGTAACTTCTAGGCATTTGCGTTTCTTTTTACATTCCTCATCTGCTTCTGAGGCCGTGGCTCTCAGATAGGAGAGGCCAGTGAGCTTGAGCGCTTCTCTCCAAGGAAGAGCGCGGACACAGAAGCATCCTGGAGCAGGCTCTGCCTCTTAGGGAGCAAAGCTCTGTGTGTGCCCCCTCAGTCCACTGCTCCTCTGTTAACGGAGAGTCTGCAGGGAGTGAGCACCCAGGGCTCATATGCACACAGGGCTTGGGGGCTGACACCGCTGTAGGCATCATTAACTTCTGCCTGGGAGTTACAGAGACCCAGCATTTCTAACCCTGACTCTACCAATGACCTTGAGCATGATCTTTACATTCTCTAAACCTCCGTTTTTTCATCTTTCACATGGGGACTTGGCACAGTTCCTCTGGGGATTAACTGAAATGATCTTTGAGAATGGCAGCTGGTGCTGGTATCTTGGTTGGGGCTCAAGCATATAAAGAAGAGAGACAGGGTCCAATGTCATCCAGAAAGAAGGAAAGAAGTAGCATTTCTCTGGAGGAAAAGGGGGCTCACTTTGTTTTCAAAGCACCTCTGTTTATACGCATTCCTCACCAGAATTCTCCCCCATGCTTTTTGCAAAAACAAACAAACAAAAACAAGAGAGAGAGGTATGACTACTAAGACCACAATGAATTGAAGAATACCTCTACCTCCTCCTGCACTCTTAGGTCTCTTCCAAAATTCTCATTCTTTCAGCTCCAAACCACACGAGTGACTCAGAAAGTCACAGGCACGTGTAGAACCAAAGTGAGGACCATGAACAAACAAGAAATAGAAGACGTACCGCTTTTCAATCTTGTAAGCACAGGAGCACACAGAGAGATTTCCATCTAAGCCCTTGGTGGAGAGTCATGTTGGGACAGTACCCTCCTGTGAGCTTGTTCCGGCCAAAAGCATCCCACCATTCAGTGGGATACGAATGATGATCTTACCCAATAAGGTCCAGCCCAGACCCACATAGGTTTGCGAAAGTGGCGGTGATGCCCCTTGCCTCTTCCTCCGCCCACCGCTTTAGCCCTGAACGGGAGGGACACGTGGTAAAATATCGGAGATGCCACTGGTGGTGCGAGTGGACACCCAGTGGCCTCGCTCCTTCTTGGCAGAGCCAGAGCCAAAGGGAAACCAACCACGTATGGAAAACTGTGAGCTCTCTAGGAGAAATCTAAGTTTCCTAAGTAATTTTATTTTTTTAAATATATTTTTATTGTTTTTATTGATTTTTTACAGAGAGGAAGAGAGAGGAACAGAGAGTTAGAAACATCGATGAGAGAGAAACATCGATCAGCTGCCTCCTGCACACCCCCTACTGGAGATGTGCCCGCAACCAAGGTACATGCCCTTGACCAGAATCGAACCTGGGACCCTTCAGTCCACAGGCCGACGCTCTATCCACTGAGCCAAACCAGTCAGAGTCCTAAGTAATTTTAAAGCTGAGCCAAAAAGAATCCTATTGAAATAGGTAGCCAACCAGGGATTACATTAATTCTGAATTCCTTTCGTTTCCAGTTACTTACCACAGCAGCTCCCCTCACAGACACAGGAGGTCCCCCGTGGCCGTCACACCTGTGGAAAGAAGTTGAAATAATTTCTTTGAAGAAGTGCCTAACTTTTTACCGGGAGGAAAATCAACAGCCATCCGCCATTATACCTTGCTATCTGGAGAAGATGTATTTCTACTGCTCTGTAGATTTCTTAGTTAGTGCATTGTTGAACAAAGTTTCAGAAATCTTTTCCTATGATCGCTTAGGAGGGATGTTTTTACATCTTTGTCACCCAGGGAGTCGAGGAGAAATTACGTATTTGAACACAGCATGAGACGTAATAGCAACATGGTTACATTTGTTGAGTGCTTAGCATATGTGCAGGCCATGCTCTCGCAGATGCTCATGTTAACTCATTTAAATACATCACTCTCATGAAGTGGATACTATGTCTATTCCCCTTTCACAGGCCAGGAGATGGGGGTACAGAGAAGGTAGGAGACACTGCCCAAGCTCTACATCAGTGATTTTCAACCTTTTCCATCTCATGGCACACGTAAACTAATTACTAACATTCTGTGGTACACCAAAAATGTATTTTTTGGCCGATCTGACAGAAAATAGGTGTAATTTTGACTCATTCACACAGGACAGCTATTGTGTTGTCTGTTGTGGTTAAAAAAAAATTTCTTTTATTGACTTCAGAGAGGAAGGGAGAGGGAGACATAGAAACATCAACGATGAGAGAGAATCATTGATCGGCTGCCCCTGTACATCCCCTACTGGGGGTTGATCCACAACCGGGCATGTGCCCTGACTAGGAATCGAACCGTGACCTCCTGGTTCATAGGTTGACACTCAACTACTGAGCCACACCAGCCAGGCTGTTGTCATTTTTTGTTTGACAATCTAAGGGAAAAGAGGTCGGTGCCCCCTGACTAAATAGTCAGGTATTGCGTGTTATAAAAATTCTTGCGGCACACTGGTTGAAAATCACTGCTCTATATTAATAATATTTATAAGCTAAATACTGCTTTTATTTTAATTCTTCCTTTCCCTACAGCCTTACTGAGCTTGCCTGCCTCCTACCTGCTTGGCACTATGTTGAGTGCTTTGGAGGAAACACGGCCCACTGCCACAGGGACCCTGCTCTCTGAGAGCATTTATAATAGGGAAGATTAGATACCTAGGGAGCCCAAATACAAGCCAAGATGCGGTAAGGACAATAGAGAGATGTTAGTAAAATGCACTGAAAATGCAGAGGGGCCAGAGAGCACTTCCTGGGATGAACAGGGGAGGGGACAGGGAGAAGATGAGGGCTAAACTGGTAGGAGAGACCACGGACAGCCGGAGCAAAAGCCTAGGGATGGGAAAGAGCAAGGGAGGCTGGGAATGGGCAAGTAATTCAAATGTTCAGGAGCCAGGAGAACGGGCCAGATTGCTAAACAGTTTTCCAGAGCCCTGAGGGGCTGCAGCCTTCCCGTGCACCCACACAGCTCCACACTCTCCCCAGCTCCCCAGGCCCCAGTCTGATTGAAAAGGAGGGATGAAATGAGGGCAGGGGGCAGGAGTCAGTTTCTGAGAGCGGCAGGTGGAGAAGGTGCGACTTTAGAGGATGCCTGGGACAGAGCGCCACGGAGGAGTTTCAGGATGCATGCTCCCTGAGGGTGTGCAAAACTGCGTGCGTGCGTGCGTGCGGTTGCGGATTTAGGCCGCAGGGGACACGACTCAGCTGGCTGGAGGCACAGAGTCTCTGCACCCACCCCCAGGGCCTCCTAAAAGTTATGTTTCTGATGTGAATGGCTTCTGTTCATAGAGGAAATAAAAGCATCAGGGGTATCATGAAAGCCATGCTGGCAAAATCCTCTGGACTTAGTGATTTCAAGGGATACAAAGCTACCTCATCTTCTGCACTTATTCTCAAATCCTACTGATGCCATCTCTTAAAGATCTCTCACTTATATCCCCATTTTTCCAACTCCACTCATTCTTATATCAAACTCCCACAGTTTCTCTCCTGGGCTTCTCTCCATCCTTTCTTTCCTATCACTAGAGAAATCTGTCTAAAAAATGCAAACATAATCTTGATAAGTATCAATTTCCTACTTATAATCTTATAAGGTACTAGAGGCCCGGTGCATGAAATTCGTGCATGTTGGGGGGGTGTCCCTCAGCCCGACCTGCACCCTCTCTAATCTGGGAGCCCTCAGGGGAGCCCTCTCCAATCTGGGAGCCCTGATAGCTCAGGCCCACTCCCCATGGTTCTCTGCTCTCTGCGAGGCCTGGTCGCTCCGTGCCCACTGCCCAGAGGCTCTCTGTGACCCAGAGGCTCTCCACAGCCAGGCGGGATGCTTGCCTCGTTGTGGGTTTGATCCCCAGTTGGTGGCGTGCAGGAGATAGCCGGCTGGTGATTCTCTCTCATCGATGATGTTTCCGTCTCTCCCACTCCCTTCCTCTTGGAAATCAATGAAAATATATTAAATAAAAAAAGAAGAATGAATAAAACAAAGCAAAAAACAGCCATTCTCTGGATCATTGTCCCAACCCCTTGAGATTCTGCTTCCAGGCAAGTGGGGACAGTTTGGCTCAAGTAAACTCATAAAAGTTCTCTACAGGTTTGAATGTTTTTACATGAACACGACATATACACCTGCTGGTTTCTGAAGGCGAGGAAATAGAATCAGTCCATGAGGTCTGCTGTGAAACTGTAGTGGAGTCTGTTTTTGCTGTCAAAAGCCAGGTCACCCTTAGAAAGAGTGTAGAAAACCAGAAATGGGATTTACAAAGAGAAAACAGACAGAAGCGAACGGAGGGATGCCTCCGCCCTCTTTTCCACCCAGATAGGCCAGTTTTTCAAACATCCTCCCTCCCTGAAGTTGGTGAGCTGTGGCCTAAGGGTGGGGGAGTCAGAGAAGCCCGAGGCGAGGTCCGAGGCCCTGACGTCACCCGAGAGCTTTCTGCATTTGAATGAAGCCTTGGAATGAGATCCATTGGAATGAACCGCCCTGACCTCCTCTCTTCCTGCTTGCTTCCTACCCCACCCCCTACTCCCTGAGCCCAGGATCTGTCTGCTCCCAGGTGCCTCCCCTGAACATGCCGGGCACAGGTGGATCCCAGAGAGCAGGGCTGACAGGACTGGACACTCCAGCGGCGGGGCTGAGGGGACTGGGTGCTGCCCTCTTTGTGGCTATGGGTGCCGCCATCTTTGTGATGGAGTGATGGTTAATTTGCATATTATCCTTTTGTTAGCTAGGATACTCCAACATCTCTACTAGGCTTTTCTTTCATCTGATGAGTCCCATAGAAAACCCCCATCCTTCTATAGGTACCTGTATGCTAGACTTACTACTAAATGTATTCTTCCTCCATAAAATATTCTCTCTTGTCTCTATCCCTTTGCAGATACCATTCAGAGATCCCCATTCAGTGGATATTTCTCCATTGATTTTTAAAGAGAGTGGAAGGGACAGGGAAGAGACAGAGAGAGAGAAACATTGATGTGAGAGAGACACATAGATTGATTGCCTCCTGCATGTGCACCGACCAGGGGATCGAGCCTGCAACCGAAATACGTGCCCTTGACCGGCATCAAACCCAGGACCTTCAATCCTTGGGCTGATGCTCCATCCACTGAGCCAAACTGGCTAGGGCTCAAGAACATTCTTTTGAAAAAATATTCTTTCCTAAGTAAAGCCCTGGGTCATTTCCCCCAAGTATTGGTGGGCACGCTGTAATTACCGCCCATGGAAGACCTCCACCTGGGTGAACACAGGCAGTTCAGACCCTGCGTGTCTCCTTCCACACCCACTCCATCCTGTTTCATGGATGGGTAGATCCTGTTGGTTCAAATGCAGAAATCCCTCTCAAAACCACCCCACCTCTACATCTCCCTGCCTTTTCCCTCGTTAAGACATTTATCATCTTTTGCCTTTATTATTGCAATAGTCCCTTAACTGTTCTTCTGTCTCCAGGTTTTGCTCTAATCAATCCATTCTTTATACCAGTGATTTTCAACCTTTTCATCTCATGGCATACATAAACTAATTACTAAAATTCTGTTGCACACCCCAAAAATATTATATTTTTTGCTGATCTGACAAAAATAGGTATAATTTTGATTCATGCACACCAGGTGGCTATTATTATATTGACTGCTGTCATTTTTTAATTAATTTGACAACCTAAGGGAAAAGGGGTCAGTACTCCTCGCTAAAGAGTCAGGTATTGCATGTTTAAAAATTCTTACTATGGCACACCAGTTGAAAATCTCTGCTCTGTGCCAAAAATTCTTATGGCACACCAGTTGAAAATTTCTTCAGAGTGATCAGTATAAACTGAAACATGCCACTTCCTGCTTAACATTTTAATGATTCCCATTTACAGTTGGGTGGAAGTTCAAATTCTTCTCTGCATTCAGAAGACCCTACATCACCTAGTTCCTGATACTTTCCAGCCTCGTATCTCACCTTCCTTTATCCCTGCTGCCACAGGAAATTAGCCACACTCCTGAACCTATGCACTCATTGTTCCTTTCCTGAGAACAGTTTTCTACCATTGTTTGCCTAAATAACTCTCATCCTTGAAGAATCATTATAAACTTTATTCTCCCTGGCAGACCTGCCCAGACTTCGATTCTTACTCTAAGACACCCCCCTAACCCTCTCCCAAATGTGCTCCCAGAGCACACAGAACTTCCCATTCTTAGCAAGAGGCTATGTTTCTGTTTCCTTTTTGTTGTCCTCACGAGATGAAGGCCTGCAAAGCCAAGGACGGTTGCTTTGTTCCAGAGTGCTGCCAATGGGATTCCTCCAACAGTATTTGTTGAATGAATGGACAAATGTGTTCATTTTTCTCCCCATCTCCTCTGCTCCTCCTCCTATATTCTTTGCCATCATCCACCTGGTTCCCTGAGTTAGGGGAGAGTTCATCTCCACTCTCCTTTCTTCTTCAGCCGGCACATCCAATGGCCATGTTCTCATGATTCCATGTTCTAAACTGTGCACAGATTTGTCCACCTTTGCCCTCCTCGTTGCCACTACCTTCATTTAAGCCACTACCATCTCAGCGGTCTCTCACCTGGGC